AGTCGACACTTTGCATTTTGTCCGTCTTCTGCTTGATTTCCCCAAATCAAATTTTTAAAAAACGAAAAACACAAAACGATTGAGATCATTGTTTAATCATTGCTGACTCTTGATTGAACGGGTCTTTCGTCAAAACTGACACAGGCAGCTTACAAAAGGGATTTGGTGACGGTTTATCAAGGAGTTGTTCCGACAGACACCTATTCCATCCCACTAATTCTGTAACACAGCTGGACATTCAATTACATGGGTGGTTGGCGGGTGCTCTAGTGTGATTTGCTTCTTCTTTCCTATCAAACATCTATCGTCTTTATCTCCTCTCCTTCTTTTTTGTGTTTGTTACTCTCTTGTATCACCTCTAATCTTCGGCACTTATATGACCTTATTGTGTTGCAAGTACCGTATAACTCCTCCTTCTTTTTTGTGTTTGTTACTCTCTTGTAACACCTCTAATCTTCGGCACTTATATGACCTTATTGTGTTGCAAGTGCAGCAAAACACTCAAACAAAAAACCTCCACTAAAACTAACTGTTGTCCAATTGTATATCTTTGTGTTGACTTTTCTTCCTTGTGGATATAAGACGGAAAAGTTCCACACTTTGTATTTCTGATCCAACAGCCTTTTGAGTTTGAACCCTTCAGCCTGACAGCCAGCATTTTTATTCATGGCCTTTGGTTGTTTTTGTTCTTGTACCTGGTTTTCCATCGTCACCCATCTGTTCAGGGTCTCTAAGTGGGTGATTGGCAGGTGCTATGGTGTGGTTTGCTTCTTCTTTTCTATCAAACATCTATCGTCCTTACCTCCCCTTCTTCTTTTTTTATGTTTGTTACTCTCTTGTAACGCCTCTGATCTTCTGGCACTCATATGACCTTATGCAGTTGCGAGTGCCGTAAAACCCCTACTAAAAAAAAAGGTCTCTAAATTAAGTTGTTCTTGATCCAACCCTGCCTCCTTTGCCTTCTGTCTTTTCAGTGAGTGATGTTAAAAGCTTATATGTCGTTCCAGCTGCATTTTTCTCTTCTTAATTGTTTTTATTAATGAACAGCCCATAGAGGCTTCATTCAGCACTACCTCTTCTCTTTACTCGAAGTAATAAATTTAATTTAAATGAGTGTGTGTTGTGTGTGTTTGCGAGTGGTTGACGGGTGCTCTGGTATGGTCTGCTCTATCTTTCTTATCAAACACATATTGTCCTGACCTCTTCTACTTCTTTTTTATGTTTGTTACTCTTTGTAACACCTCTAACCTTCAGCACTTGTATGACCTTATTGTGTTTGCAAGTGTTGTATATCTCTTACTAAAGCTAAAACAGAGTGTGCGCTTATGTTTGTGTTTCAGAGTTTCAAGTACCTGTATCTACGTCCTGATGACTTTAAGAAAGTGAGCACTGTAAACTCTGTGAGGGCGGAACTCATCGAAGACGACGGAGAATCTCGCTACAAGATCACCGACATCATTGGTTAGTTGCGGCAGTTGCGACAAACACTGTCAGATTTGTCGACTTTGAATAGCCTTTTCATTAGGCAGTTGTGTAGTATGTCCAACTGACTATATGAGAACTATATTAAAAGTGCAATGGGGAACAAAATCACAGTATTGATTCATTAACTTTGCGAGTATTTTACATATTGTTAGCAATCATTTTCATTTTCTGAACCTAATCTTTATTTCTCTTGTCTCTCGCTCTGTGATCTCTCTGTGTGACCATCACTGTCGATGTGTATTGGTGGTTGGCGGGCACCACTGATGGGTCCTACCTTTTTTTTTCTTTCCCCTTTTTTTGTTTCTGTCTGTCCACCTAGCTTTTTACTTGAAATAAATGAGCATTATTATGTCGATGCACTTCTCTTTTTTCAAACTCAAACAACCAATATGCTTTCATTCAACTCTGCATATTATTATTATAACTAGTTTTTTCTGCTCTTTTCTCCAGGCAAGGAAGACGGTATTGGTGTGGAGAGTTTGCGCATGGCAGGAATGATTGCTGGGGAGACCTCACAAGCGTACAACGAAGTCATCACCATCAACTTGGTCAGTACTGCAGGTGGTTGGTGGGCGATCTGATGTGGTCTGCTGTTTCTTCTTCTTTTCTGTGTAATCACTGTCCCATTCTGGTTTTTTTTGTGTGGGTGGTTTGCCCAATTGTGTTTCAAATGCCGTAAAACTCTTTATTAAAACAGAAGTACTCAAACAAACCTTAGAATGACGTCATGTGTGTTTGTTTTTTCCTCTCAAGGTGTCATGTCGTGCGATCGGAATCGGCGCTTACCTGGTGCGACTCGGTCAGCGTGTGATCCAGGTGGAGAATTCCTCCATCATCCTCACAGGGGCCGGAGCTCTCAACAAGGTCAGAGGGCGATCTTATCTCTGTGGAGATTGTGCCAGTTGTTGGGGAAGCTTTGATAGTAGCTAGTACAGTCTGTGCTATTATGAGCATCATAAAGGCTGTTCAAGGTTGCATTGTGACTCTTGCTTCTCACTGTTTCTGCCTCTCTCTCTCTCTCTCTCTCTCTCTCTCTGTGTCTCTGTCTGTCTGTCCATCTGTCTGTTTCTTTCTCTCTGTCTCTGTCTCTGTCTCTTCCTCTTTCTCTCTCTCTCTCTCTCTCTCTCTCTCTCTCTCTCTCTCTCTCTCTCTCTGGGTGGTTGGCGGGTGCTCTGGTATGGTTTGCTCCTTCTATCTTATCTAACATCTATCAGTGGGTGGTTGGTGGGTGCTCTGGTGTGGTTTGCTTCTTCTTTCCTATCAAACGTCTATCGTCTTTATCTCCCCTTCTTCTTTTTTATGTTTGTTACTCTCTTGTAACACCTCTAATCTTCTGGCACTCATATGACCTTATGCAGTTGCGAGCACCGTAGAACCTCTACTAAAACTAAACCCAAAAAAAATCTGTCTTCCTAAATCTCTTCCTCTTTCTGTTTTGCATTTGTTACTCTCTTGTAACTCCTTTAATCTTCAACACTTTTATGACCTAATTGTGTTGCATATACCGTAAAATGCTTACTAAAATTCTGTCTCTCTCTTTGTCTATCTCCCTCTCCCTTTCTCTCTCTTCCTCCCTCCCTCTCCCTCCCTCCCTCCCTCCCTCTCCCTCCCTCCCTCTCTCTCTCTCTCTCTCTCCAAATCAACCCCCCCCCCCCCCCCCATTTGCCTTATTTCCTTTTTCTGTCTACTGCCAGCCAGCCCCAACTCTCCTTTTACTTTTACGCTCAGTTAAAGACAGACAGAGAGAGACAGAGGCAGAAATAGTGAGCTTCAAAACTGTGCTGTCAGTCTTTATATAACGTATAAAAAAATTAAAAAGAAACGATAAAAAATTTAACGTGGAAAAGGAGTTATATCGGCTCCTGAGTAATTTCATTGATTTTTTAAATATACTTTTCTACGTTTCATTTTAGTGTTGATCTTATCTGTTTATCTCACTTTTTGGTGTAATATCACTAAGATTGTGTATATTGATGCTGCTGTTTCAAATTTGTGTTTTATGTAAACACACGTCACATTTAGGTGGGTCTGTCGTACCAATATCTCGGTACCCCTGTGTATTTGTCACGTTGCATTCATATCTATATTTTAGTACAGAGGGCTCACAGGGGGACATTCCATGGTGACTGACGGGACATTTGGACTATTTTTTCTTTCAATGATAACACTGAAGTTCAATAACAATTAATTTATTTCAACTTTAAATGATCAGAACATTTGAAAGACGTGTTGAGATTCATATTAAATGCAGTCATTTGAAAAAACCCAAACAAAAGTACTGTATGCAAATTCTGCAATGCATTTGGTTTCGGTAACTGATGGGACAGAGAAAATGCCTCATTTGTCCCGTCAGTAGAGCGCTTTATTAATGCAATCTATTATTATTATTATTAGTTACCGTGGAATAGCCCAAGGTTAACTCACATCTCTTCCCCCCCCCCCTGTGTACGTGTGTTCCCAGGTGCTGGGTCGTGAGGTGTACACCAGCAACAGCCAGTTGGGAGGGATACAGATCATGTACCAGAACGGCGTCTCTCACGCTGTCGTGCCCGACGACTTTGAGGGAGTCTTCAAAATCCTCCATTGGTTATCCTACATGCCTGTGGTGAGTTCTAGAAACGCCCGGAAAAAAACTAGTCATGTCTGCAATAGTTTGTCACGGACATGCATTCTCAGGGGGGTGTTTTGTTTCTATGACGTCCAGACCTGCCAGACTTTCTGATTTAATAGGGTAATTTCGAAATTCAGACTATCTTTCTCGGGATGCCGATAACAATGCCATTTTCCTAATTAATTAAGCTATAAAGTAAAAATGATTTCTTTCCCCAATTTATGCAGTCAGCGTGAATGAATAAAAACAGGGAAAGGGTGTTTGCGGGATAAAGTGGGACTTTGACAATAGTGGTGACTTATCTGCTTCTTTGTTCTTTTTTTCTGACATTATTGGACAGGCGAATAATTTGTCTTTTTGACAGTCATCAGCCAAATGATACACATACCTTTAACCTTTTCAAGTGTTTGGCAGGATTTAGCAGCATCAATCTGGGATCATGTTAAAGCTTGAGGACGATCGACGTGCAAATATGACCTTTTCTCGCGTTTCCCCCGATTTCGGTCTTTAAGAAATAGTAGTTTTCTGTATTTCTGTCTTTGATAACTTAACAAGTCGTGAAGCTATTTTAATTTGGGGGGGGAGGGGGGGGGGGGCAACTGTCTTGTTTTTTTACCTACTCTAAATGATGATTGTCATGTCGCTCATATGCTTCTCATTGCTTAAAAAGCAACATGAACTCTTCCTTTTCCCTTCTAGAGGCAGAGTATAAAACATCATTATATTGATAAGCCTTTGTTTTCTTAACCCAAACTCAGTCCTAGCTGAATATTACGCTTATAAAATGTTTTTAAAAACTTTTACCCACAGAAACGAGGTGGACTCTTGCCTGTTCTGGAGCCCCTGGATCCTATAGAAAGAAACATTGATTTTGTTCCAACAAAAGCTCCGTATGATCCGAGATGGATGTTGGCTGGCAAGAAAGGTTTGTCACAATTAATATTTGTCACGATGTGTCGTGATCAGGTGCTCGTCAATTTTTGGGCATGTAGAGTTATTAGTGGTATAACCATAAAGCTTGTTCATTTGTCTTGCTTTCTATTAAAAAATACCCCTCTATCTTGAATAGAAGTTTAGGTAATTGGGTTTGAAGAAGATGGGGTTTGCCTGGTTTCAGAGGTAAAATAAGTGAGAAAATGTCCGTCAAGTTTGGCGACTTCCATAGCTTGAAAGTCCTTGAAAACTGAAAATTTAATTTTTAGTGCCTTTTTACAACATTTTCAGTAAAACCCGTACTGAAATGTATTTTTGAATGGACATAAAAGGTGTTGAGCCAAAAGAACAAAATTTTGAAAAAAACTGCCAACCTGGTGGGAAAATGCCAGTTTCTTCGATTCCATTACAGTCGAACCTGCCTTAACGGAAACCTGTGTAGATGGAAACCTGTCTTATAGGAATCTCCTCGCTTCCCCCTTGATATATTCCTCTTTAATTACCTGTATAAAACGGAAACCTGTCCAACATGGAAATGGAAAGAAAAATCCACTCCCTTCCAAGGGTTTTACCTGTCTAAGACGGAAAATGCTTTGCCCACTCAGTCCTGATTTAAAACAAAACTCGCAAGTTTGGTTCCACCGGCTCTAAACTTAGTGCCATGTCGCCAGGCGAGGAAGGGGTAAGGGTGCAATTTGGTACTCAGAAAGTCTAGGGGGTAGATCAAGGACCTTGGGATAGATGTTACCCCATCTATGTGAGCCCTGAGCGGCATTCAGATGGTCAGTGTGGTGTGGGTGTGAAATCTCACGAAAGCCAGTGAAAGTGCTCTAGTAGCGAGCCACCACGTAAACTTTCCTGGGTAGCCAGAAGCCAGAGGTGTGAAATTAGTTTGACCAATGCCTGCCACCCTGATCGTAAGGCCGGCCGAGAAGGGTGGAAGCAAAGGAAATGTACAAATGTTTCTGTATTTAATAGGTCAGACAGTAGTCCTATGAAATGCTAGCACTGGTGGTAGTTGGATAAGTAAGACTTCGGCATGTCATTATCAGAGAGGATAGCAGTTGAGACATGTGAAGTTTTGACCACTGCTTGCCAACCGAACAAGGGACCCTTAATCCCACCGGCAGGGCCTTTGAGACTTCCTTCCATTTCCCCCCTAAACCACAAGTCAAAGACGGAATTTTTTTTCTGGCTCCCTTGCGATTCCACCTTACACAGGTTCAACTGTATTTTGACGTTTGTCTGTTTTCACCAAAATTGCCTTGGGGAATAGTTTTATTGTTGTGTCCAAGAGAAGAAGTTGAGTTTTTGGTGAGCTGCCTGCCTGGTAAACGAGCCTTTTGTTTTCATTTTGTTTCCATATATCATGTTGGTTTGCTAGACAATTCTTTTTATGTGAAAGGTTGTAACTTTTAAAATTGTTTTTAATTCAAACCCATTGTATTCATCAACTATAGTTGTTGACTTTTTAAGATATATACATGGCATGGTCTAACTTCCAAATTGTAGTGGGAGTTTTATATAAGTCATGGAAGTCTTTACACATGTCAGTGGAACAGCTTGCATCAAATCCAACTAAATCTGTTCTTGTGAAATCTTGCTTAAACTTGACATTTTCTCTTGTGCTAATGATTTAAACAAGAGGCAACTTTGAATGTATTCTTGGGTCAGATCTCCATACTCCTGACAAGTGACTGAGGCCCCTTCAAGAGTAAATGATTGTAAATTTTTTTTATTCTCTTCAGTACAGTTTAGATTTAGGAAATGGGCTGCTTTAAACCCAGGCTAACTAGGAAACAACTTTTTTAGCAGACAAATGGAGATACTCAATAACTCAATAAAATTGCCTCCCCACTCGAAAATCAATCTCCTGTTAACAACAGATAATGAATTCTTAAAGTAGGATGACGCATGCTCACATTACCATGTGTGGTTGCAAGAGCTGCAAACCTCTTTCCAAAATAAAAAACAAAAGAAGGATGAGAAATTTTTGCTGGTTTGAGCTAACGAATGTATGTTCTGTATTTCAGAGGGAGGCAGCTGGCTGTCTGGTTTCTTCGACCGCGGGTCATTCGACGAGATCATGCAACCATGGGCACAGACAGTGGTGGCGGGCCGCGCCAGGTGAGACGTCCACACACAATTGTTTTGTTTTCTTCCTCGTCAAGTCTGTGTTCATTTTAGATTAAATGCATGCTGTGTGCGTAGATATCTTAGCTGCAGACGATTCAACAAGGGCATACAAAATTCTGGTCCATATATATAATTACAATTACCTTTAAAATGCTGTATGGCTGCCTCCGAAGTAAAGGGCATTTCACTTCAGTAAATAGTAAGACTGGGTTGTCGCACCTGCAGTCAACTACGATGAATTTACAAAGAATTATTTTTTAAGTTTTCCAGTCGGTGATATTTACATCTATCTATTTATTTGTCTGTCTTTGTCCCCTCTCAGACTTGGTGGCATTCCTGTTGGTGTTGTTGCCGTGGAGACCCGGTCAGTAGAACTGAATGTACCAGCTGACCCTGCTAATGCTGATTCAGAGTCAAAGGTCAGTGATGATGCTGTTTGTATTTTACACGTTTGTTGATCAAGAGATTTGGGAACAGAGAAGACTGCATGTCTTATAGTTGTAAAGCGCTTAGAGCATACTACATTGGGTGGATATCGTCATATGAGTGCAATTATTATCATTATTTCAGAATTATTTTTAAAATTTTTAGAAAGGCACCAAGTTTGGAAGATAAAGATTTATAGCATAGATAATTTTTTTATGAGTTGAGAAGACTTCTCTGTAATGATAACCTAGGGGGAGGGGGGGGGGGGAGATGGGCTATCCACAGTTATTGTTTTGTACATTCTTGTTTGAGTTTGTTTGTCCACAAATAAGATTTCTTTTCTTGTTTTCTTGAGCAAAGATTATATAAGGTACAACTAATCTGTCTCATATTCCTATTCAGTGGTGGGTGCAATGGTGTGGTTTGCTTCTTCTTTCCTATCCAACATCTATCATCCTTATCACTTTTCCTTCTTTTTTGTGTTTATTACTTTACTCCTGTCTTGTAACACCTCTAATCTTTGGCATTTGTACAACCTAATTGTGTTGCAAGTGCCATAAAATGCAAGAAAGAGTTTCTATGAGAGTTGTTGTGAAAAATTGTCGGCTGTTGACTGGTCTATTAGTACCGTTTTGTCTTCTTCAGTGAGAGTGGTTGTGCACAACCAATGTTTTTTGTGCGATTGTTTAGCCCAGTAAATATGACATCATGTGGACTGTATCCTTTTACTACTCTCTGTTTCCAGTCGTGACACTGTTCAATGTTTATTCCATTCTTTACTTTCATGTTTTTTTTGTGAGAGCACACTAACTATTTATATATTAACATGGATTCTATGCTGTGGGCAGTCAGAGGGCATTCCTTGTAAGGGATATTTCTTTCCTCTACTTTTTTTTCCCTGCTCTTTGTCATTTTCCTCATTGGCATTTCTCGTTACAATTTTTACCATCTATGACTCTAGCACTCAAATAGTGCTGTATTTGTGAACCTGTTTGATTTGTAATTTCATAATTTGATATTTATTTTTAAAAAGTATACGTATATGCACATATACATTCACATATATATATCTGACTATTATTCCGGGTCTTCCCCTCTCAGCTGATCCAACAAGCCGGCCAGGTGTGGTTCCCAGACTCGGCCTACAAAACTGCCCAGGCCATCAAAGACATGTCACGGGAGGAGTTGCCTCTCTTCATGTTTGCCAACTGGAGGGGCTTCTCGGGAGGCATGAAGGGTACGGGACCTTTTTACTTTGATTTTGTTGTTTTACTGCGTGTTTAAATGTATGTGTGAGTGGTTGGTGGTTGCGCTAGTGGGATTTGTTCTTCTTTCCTGTCCGACGTCTTATTGTCTTTATCCCTCCTCCTTTTTTGCATTTGTGACTCTCTTGTGACACCCAATCTTCAGCTCTCATATGACGTGATCGTGTTGTTAGTGCCATAAAACACTTACTAAAATAAAAAATAAAACAAGAAAATGTATGTATATAATGTGATTTTGTTGAAAATTGCCTAAATATTGTTGTCTTTTGTCTATGATTTTACTGTACATATATTTTGTTTTGATCACTGTTAGTGTGTTGATTTTAAGATTTTTTTTCTTTGGTCATTCTATCTATTTTGTCAAATCCAGTGAACTTTGATATACCCGTCGAAAGATACAACAGTTTTGGGGATTTTTTTGTAGCTCCACATTATTATAATTCAAGTACAGTGTGAGAATCTTAAAAAACTGCGAAACGGGAATCAGTACACGGTGTGGGAAAATTTCTAACCTTCAGCATCTATTGTGGAATGGTTAGGACATTTGCCTCATATGAAAAGATGCAGATTTGGTTCCTGTGTGGGAAAGTTTTGCCAATATCTCCATCTGTCCACTCGAATATTGTACCTCACAGCACATGTTGGTCCTGACGAGCAAAGCTGTCCCCGCAGTTTTACGCAAAAAAAATTCTGAAATTATGCAAACTGAGCCCAAAAATGTGAAATTATGCGATTCTGTTCATTTTAACAAAGAAGGAAAATAATCAGAAATTATGAAAAAAAATGATCAAATTTTGCTAGATTATGGGGGTGCATAAAACCTCAGGGACAGAGCAAGGGGGTACTGTGGCGTCGGTGGCCTAGTGGTTAGGCTCTCGGACTCGCAACCGTAAGGTCGTGGGTTCGAATCCCGTCAGGGACCCGACGTTGTGTCCTTGGGAAAGGCACTTTACACGAATTTTCCTCACTCCACCCAGGTGGGAATGGGTACCCGGCTATAGACAGCGAAAGATCTTGTCAGTATGTTAGTGTTTGAGCGCTTAATCAGCTGCTTGCACTGTATGCTTCCCGGGAAGCTGAGAATGTTTCGGAGTGTTCTATGGTCTGCTGGGGTAATAATATAGTGTAAAGCGCATAGAGCCTGCTGTTGAGCGGGGATTTGCGCTATACAAATGCTATCTATTGTTATTACTGCTTCATCTGCCTCTTAAGTGGTCTAAATTGTGTCTATGGGGGTGCATAAAACCTCAGGGACAGAGCAAGGGGGTACTGCTTCATCTGCCTCTTAAGTGGTCTAAATTGTGTCTATGGGAGGGCATAATACATGACAATTCCAATTTTGTCTCTCCCTCCTCAGACATGTACGACCAGGTCATAAAGTTTGGCTCGTACATTGTGGACGCCATCCGGGAGTACAAGCAGCCGATCTTCGTGTACATCCCGCCGTACGGGGAGCTACGTGGTGGCTCGTGGGTGGTAGTGGACCCACTCATCAACCCGGACTACATGGAGATGTACGCTGACTCTCTCAGCAGGTATGTACTCACTGTCATGTACGCTGACTCTCTCAGCAGGTATGTACAGGCAGTCATGTACGCTGACTCTCTCAGCAGTTATGTACAGGCAGTCATGTACGCCGACCCTCCTCAATGGAAAAAAAAAGTATTTGTAGAAGAGTGACATGTGCAAATGGCAACTTGCTTTTCCACAAAGGCCTTCCACATTTCTGAGAGTATGTAAAAAGACTTGCAGAGAGAGGTTGTCTTTTCTTTAAGTTGTTTTAGTACGACTTTTACAGTACCTGCAACACAATTACTTCATATAAGTGCCAAAGATTAGAAGTGTTGCAAGGGAGTAACAAACACAAACAAGGAGTAGAGATAAGGACAATAGATGTGTGATAAGAAAGAAGGAGCAAGCCACACTAAGGCACGTGTTCGTTAACACTGGCTCTCTCAGTGCAGTTGTGTACGCAGGCATACCCAACAGATCAGTTATCTTAATGGGATTATGATGTACTGTGTTGTTTCAAGAATTTGTTGTAGATATTGTGGTAAATGTTCCACGCCCCCATCAACATTAGTTCATTTACCTCATGCCTCAATGACTAAATTGAGGGATAGCAAAACAAATAAGGCTGCTTTACAGCCCACGAATCGGATTTTAAAATATTTTTTTGGCAAGTGTTTTACGGCGCTCACAACCTCATAAGGTGTGCGGGACACACTAAACATTTTCAGTTGGTAGGAAATTTTGAATTTTTCCTGGGTGGCGGCCGAAGCCTACTCTTATCTATTTTAAACCTCCAAGGGATCTTTAACGTGCGCCACTTACACACGAGACTTCCGAGATTTTTCTCCCTTGTCCGAGAAGGCAAGGTGTAGATCTTACCTTCCAGAAGATCAGGGGTGTGGCTGAAAGATAAGCAGTAAGAAGGAGCCAAGGAGTAGCAGTAGTAAGGCTGCAGAAAGAGTCGGGAGCCCCAAGGAGAGGGCAAAGGAGGTGAAGGGGTGTGGGCAGAAAGTGGAGACGAAAGCAGACGACAGAACATTTCTAGAGAGCAGGAAAGGAGGTGAAAGGAGACAATTTTAAAGAATGAAATTTTTCTAGCGCTACACGGATTCGAACCCGGGACCTTTGAATGAGAGGCGAACACCTTAAACTTTAGGGCATGAGAGCCTCCAATCAGATTTGGACAGAGTAGATAGAGTAGATGTACTTTGATCTCACAACGTACACGAGAAGTTCATCTCTGAGCAAAGACACAACACAAGACACATCTTTGCATGCCTTGCCCTCCTCTCTGTTGCCAGACAGGTTTGAATTTTGTAAAATCAGGTTTTTTTAGGTTTACAGATCAGTGGCAGATATTATAGCTTTTCCTTTGTATGTGTCTCTCTCTCTGTAAGTGTAACGTGTATTTATATACTTGTACATTTTACTTTTGCGAGAGGTCTAATTATATACGTCTTTTCTATACATATAATGACTACATGAAGAACGATTTGCAGATGGTTTTTCAAGTCTTCTCTGAAATGTTATCTTTGCTTTGTTTTCCAGGGGTGGTGTATTAGAACCAGAGGGAACAGTTGAAATCAAATTCAGGCGCAAAGACGTAGAGAAATGTATCCGCCGTCTGGACCCTGTGTGCAAAAACATTGTGGAAAAGATTTCCAGTCCAGGTTTGTTTGTTTGTTTTTTTTCATTTGTATCAGTCCATAGACATTGTTGGTGTGGATGGAGACAGAAAATGAGAGTGATTGAAAATGACAAATTTATATTTTTATATTCAGGAATCAGTTAATTATTATAAGTATGTTGGTGTGGATGGAGACAGAAAAAGAGAGTGATTGAAAATGACAAATTTATATTTTTATATTCAGGAATCAGTTAATTATTATAAGTATGTTGGTGTGGATGGAGACGGAAAAAGAGAGTGATTGAAAATGACAAATTTATATTTTTATATTCAGGAATCAGTTAATTATTATAAGTATACATTGAGAACTTGGAGCAGATGGATGATGGGAAAAGACAGTATAATATTCTTTTTTGTTCCAGGGAAATGAGTGGTGCATCATAATTGGTAATGTCTGCTTCAGGTCTAGCTCTTTTATGATAATCATAAATATTATTATTGCTTTCTGTGGAGATAGAATTCCAGAAACTCTAAACTTGTTATTGTAGCTGAAAATTATTAGAACGATAAGATTAAATTAGTTTATGTAGGTAGTGGAAGGGTGCCACTGGTACATTGTGCTTCTGTACTCTACCTTTTTTTTTTGTAGTCACGCTTTTTCTCAACACTAAATGATCTTCATTGTGGCGATTTACTTCTCTTTGCTTCTTCTACCATGCTTCATTTTTTATGGCAGCATTCCTTTCATATATGTTACTAACTTTTTAACTGTTTTTAAAATAAAATAATGTGTGGAAATTGTCTCTCAGATCTGGATGCAGAGAGTAAGGCAGCATTGGAGCGACAGTTGAAAGACCGGGAGGATATATTAATCCCGTTGTATCACTCCGTGGCTGTCATGTTTGCCGATCTCCACGACACGCCAGGCCGCATGGAGGAGAAAGGATGCATCACGGTACGACATTTTCTTGTCGTTTAAGTAGTCCGGCAGGTCTCATCATCCTTTTCTTTTTGCCGCGGTGTGGAGTGGGCCGCTTGTTGCTTACTTATAAAAATATTGGAGTATATGGATTTAATGCTCCTTTTAATTCTGTTAGATTATTTAGGAGATGCCATTTTTGCTGGGATTGAGCCAAGTAGAGAGCCTTAAAAGCTCCCCCGACCCCGCCCCCCTTAAAAAAAAAAAAAAGTATAAGCACGATCCATTGAGTATACAAACCAGGGTCATAAACACCATGATGCCAACTTAACTGAGAATGTTACCTTTTTACTTATGGATGATACAAGGTGGGATACACAACAAGCTCCTATTATTTAACACAAAGATTGTGAAGGATCTGTGGGAGAGAAAGGGTGAAGGCTCAATTGCACTTACCTTTCTATCTAATGTTTCTGTTCTCTCAAAGTAATTTTACATGATGTGGATTATTAAAGGTATGTCTTAACCCTTTGGGGGAGAAAGAGTTTTAGATATAACAGTGCCTGTATTAGTTTTGTAAAGCTTCCTTTCTGTCTGTATCTTTTAGTACAAACTTACATACTCACTCTTGTTGTTTTAGTCTAAAGCTTTCATTCTCCATCTGTATGTTTTATGCAAGGAATGTGAATGCATTAGTAGAGAGAATGAGTGGAAGGCTACTTGATTTATTGTGTAATTTTTTTCCCCTTTTTTCTCGCTCTTTTTGTTTTCTCTTTTTTTTTAAAATATGGAAATCATTTGTGAAAGAATGAGTTGTTCACATGCGTTTGTTTTCTAAGCAGGTGGTTGAAGGACACCACTCGTAGGGGCTTCTTTCTTTATTCCCTATGCTGTTGTTACTCTCTGTCAACCTAGCTTTTTTTTTTTTTTACTGCACTAAATGGCTGTTATTGTGTCAGTGCGATTCCTTTACTCAAACAAGTTTCCAAAGACTTACTCTAAAGGTGGTTAGTGGGTGTTCTGGTGTGGTTTGCTTTTTTTTTCCAATCCAACATCAGTCGTCCATATTTTTCCTCCTTTTTTGCGTTTGTTACTCCCTTGCAGCACCTCGAATATTGGACACTTATTTGGCTCTTATTATATGATCTAATTGTGTTGCAAGTGCTGTAAAACTCTTTCTAAAACCACAAAAAAGACTTAATCTCTCTCTCTGTCTTTTTCCATACCTTAAGAAATATGGAAAGCCTTTGTAAAGAAACATTGCCATTTAGGCATGTCACTTTTCTACGGTCTTTTTATGTAAGAAATCTGGAAGTTGTTTCAGTAAAAAGGGGGTTTACTATTCACATGAGTTAGTTTCATAAATTGATACATCATCCCTCCCACCCCCACTCCCCTTATTTCTGCAGCAAGTGATTGAGTGGTCCAAGTCACGTGAGTTCTTTTACTGGAGGTTACGGCGTAGGCTGCTAGAACACCGTCTCAAGAGACTGATGAAGGAACAATTGCCGGAGTCGAGTCAGGCCCAGCTCGACTCTATGCTCAGCCGCTGGTTTGTGGAGGACCGGGGAACCATCAATGTGAGTGGCTGGTGTAGAAGTTTGTCTGATATCGTTTCGTTCTGTTGGGTGGTTGACGGTTGCTCTGGTGTGGTTTGCTCCTACTTTTCTATCAAACATCTGTTGTCCTTATCTTTCCTCATTCTCTGTTGTGTTTGTTACTGTCTTGTAACACTCTAATCTCCAGCACTTAAATGACCTTGTGGTGTTGCAAGTGCCATAATAAAACTCTTACTGAAACAAAAAGTAGACAGTATCCCGCGATGTCAACTGTCAGGCATGCTTTGCAGCTGTACTTAAATAATAATAATAATAATAGATAGCATTTGTATAGCGCATATCCCCGCTCAACAGCAGGCTCTATGCGCTTTACACTATATTATTACCCCAGCAGACCATAGAACA